TAAATGTGTATTTGAAACAGACTTAGGCACAAGCGCAATTATTCAATTTGCCTATCTAACAGTATACAGTTTGGAGGAAAAGCGCGTTGAAATAAAGTTGGAATAAGGAAGTCAAATCGGGTAACCGCAGACAACTGTAGGGTGGCTTGATTTACGATAAACAATAATTCGTCATAAATCATACTCGAGTACAAGTTCCAAACATGTTTGGATACACTACGAGTTGATGCACATAACTGTGGAGTAAAAGTGTTATTAATTAAGATGTGTAGTTGACATTCCTTTTCTATGGCAAACAGTCGATACATTTAACATGACGCACATTCGATGTATTCGTTTTTTTTGAAGATGGAGAATAATTATCACTCTAATCACTTTGTTGTTCTTTCAATAATCAGATAGATGATAGATTGCGGCACCTGAAGTGTAAAATCATCCACCATTTGACCGTGAGACAATCCCCAATGCGTGACTTTTTAATGAGTAAACCACCGAGACGATGGAATTTCCGTGACACATACTACTGCTGCTGTCAAAACTATGAGTTTTGGTAGAAAAAGATAAAATAATTTTCTATTACATGAGATTAGTGGAGGATTTGATTCCATGCGTAGCGTATTTGGTCGTGTATGAAAGAAACAAAGCGGGAACTGAAAAGCTAGGAAGCACTGGGCAGTTGCATCGACCTGGTTGAGACTCATCAGTAGTGCGAATCTACCAACTGGGGATCGAGCCTAGGATCTCGAAGATGAAACGCAAGCCCACTAGCCACTTGGTCACCAAACAGCTGATCGGACCGTTTTTCGTTTTGCCTTTACATGATACAGCACAACTCATCCTTGCGACGTTGTTGCGGATATCGAAACTCGCTCATCTAGGCACCATCCTTCAGGGTTATCATCACTCAATTAGAAACATTCCAATCTGGCTATTTGTTGTATGAGAGTGTTGTGGGATTTGATGTAATTGCATAGTGCATAGAGCAAACGAAGCTCTATCGTTTAGAGGCAAAATGAAAAACTGTCTGTCCGGCTGCTCCATGACCGGGTGATTAGTACACTTGCGTTCTATCTTTGAGGTCCCGGATTAGGTCCGCAGTTGGGTCGATGGATTGCTTCACACTGCTGTTGAGATTCAAGGTGATTGAAACAGCAGTGTTCCCCAGCTTTCCATTTCATGCTTTGTTTGCTCTATACATGACGAAGTCCGCTGTACAAATTTCCATTAGATGCAGAGAAGTTGTTGGCCTTTTCGTTGTGGTTTGCTTGAGTGCACATTGACTGGTGTAAATTCTTTCGTACAGGCCTGTTTTAGAAAGTGCATACAGTGTAGAAAACATGGATATTAGTCTAACATTTTAATTGATGGGTTCAAATGAGAGATCGAATAATTCATATTGTAACATTATGTGCATTGATTTTTAAACACAGTAAAGGTTGCCAACTGTGTAAGAGTATTTTATGTCAGAATTGGTTTAACAATCCGAATATCAGGGACTGAGTTAGAGAAACGCTATTCGGACAAAGGTAGTAATGTTATTCCACTACTGTTGTACTTTAATTCTCGTCTTTATTTAGACTATCAAGCGATGTTCAATCAACAGATCAAAATTAAAACAAATATGCCCAATATACAAATAGGAATCTTGTATCGATGGCTCTTTAGCAGTGCTTGCCTTTTTTGAAATCTACAGGCGTACACCTAGGTCATAGAAAGACAATAAGCAGTGCCTGATACATTTAAAATGGAATACTTTCATCTCAAGTCTGTTTCTCTCCTAATGGCTTATCACTAGACATTATGAGAATAGATAGTTCATCTCAGCTTACTATCAGGAACAGATACAAATGTACTCCGAATTAAGTTTTATTAATGGTTTATAACTTTGAAAACGACAGCTAACAATTGCTATTAATGTTGAATTTAGACAAAATTCTGCAATTCAAAATAGCAAACTTTCTAGAGCATCGTTTTAGGATAGAGACACTATCCACTGTGCTGATGAATAAAAGCGAATAGGCTGGACCTTCTAGGATTATAGGGACTCTCAGAGGTTTCAGGAACGAGCGGCACTGACGGACAAGATCCCATTTTCGCGGATTTTGTTTCAACCTACCAACATTCACCAAATTATCAAAGACGTATGCTTCGATCACACGGGGAAAATATTTTAAAAACATAGCGGTTCACGGTCACACTTCACTGATAACAATTGTCACGAAAGTACTGTATATTGGTATTTTTTCGGCAAACCGTTTTCAACATACTCTTTCAACTCTACGTCAATCGATTCACGTAATCACAAAATTTTTAATATATCAGATCATGATTTTTTTTTATTACTTTCGCACTGCACCAAAATTAGTGTGACACATAATCTGCTGCACCATATTGGATCCGGACACTGTTATCTTTGCATTTTTAGCTGCTCTCTGTGTTCGATCCTGATCGTCTGCGGCAGGCAATCTTTATCATGTCACAAGAGGGAATAAAACAAAACTGGATGGCATTCCCACAATAAGTTTGCAAGCACGCCCACATACACCCCGCGTCATCTTCACACGCTACTGGAAGTCTGTGAGTCCAGTTCGACGAACTGGCGAATCGTCGTGCAAATCGAAGGAACAACCCTTTGGTCTGAACGGTTCTCGAACGGCCACAGTTTTGTGTCCGAATGATCCGAGGGATTAGGATTTCGGATCGAATCGTGGGAAGCATCGAATTCTGTCCCCACCGGGATCGGGCTGGTGGTGATGATGACTGACGAAGAAACCTGTGGATACTGGTGCTGAGCAGACTGGCGTTCCGGATGGTTGTGCACCCGCCACATTGTTTCGCGCTGATACTCCAAGTTATTGTCTGAATGAAATTCCAGCCACTGATTTCTGTTCCAACATCTATAGTGAAAATAACAAAGTACGTATTTAAGAACTATTTGTGTCCTCGACTTTAGGGTATCAACATGAGGTTGCTCTATCAAGCAAAACCTGGGTTGGTCACTGTTTGTCAGAAACTGCTACAAATATGTCTGGAAAAAAGGTAGTGTTTGACAAGGATATAGGTTCGCATAAGTGGGTGATCATAGTGACTAAATATAATGAACAAATATGTAATAGTGCAAGTAGTAGTTTTCGGGCCTAGATTATCAACTGAAACTGAATCCGATTTTCGGAAAAGCACCGTGGCAGTCACTCTTAGAAAAGAACCATTCTTATGTGATGTACCAACTTTTTGAATGCTTCACTAAATTGTTCTTCGAGAAAGAGAATAGCATTTAATGTTATTTTTCTAGTACTTAATGTGATACGTTGTCAGTACATTATGGATTGTTTCATTATTCCATTCCTTACTACATAAATAAACCAAGTAGACTAGACATTACTAGACATTACTTGCATAGTTAGTGTTGATCGATCTTGAGGGGACGTGCAAAAGGGAGTAAATGAATTTAGTCTCTGGCGAATGGAAAACGAATAGAGACTAAATTATTTAGTGTTGACTTCTAACTAGTCGCTGGAGCCATATCAGGCAACCTAAGGGTAACCTGGACATTTAGGTTCGCATTGGACTAACGCCCAACCGTTTCATGATATCGAACCCAGCTGATTTAACTGGACATTTTTATTTAATACCAATCTGATATATCTGATTTTATGCAGGGAAGGCGGCTGTGGATATGATGTAATAGGGAATTAACTGTCTCCCTCGTTACCATCAAGCCAAATGAACTGACTGGATATAGTTAAAAACTACATGGAAACAAACTTTCATTGTCTATTTTGATGAGACCTATTGTGAGCTAGTTGTCACCGTGATATCACACATGCCTCCCATTAGATGTCTTCGCAGTTCATGTCCTAGGTGGGTTGGTGTTTATTCACTGTTTAGACAGAAACAAATGTCTTTTGCTTTCATTGTGTAAAACTGACTGAATGGATTGAATTTTGTGCACGAGGATGATGTCGAAGGATGGTCATTTCCAATCAAATTTGAAATAATTTCGAAATACCTTCAATCCAGGTTCAACAAAGTTTCTAGTGATTTCCAACTTCTGGTTTTTAATTGATATGTACACAACAATGTTAGCCACCTATTTGTTTTTACACGACCAAAGTAAAAACCAAAAAACATCATTCGCAAACAACTTGCTTCTAATTTAGAATCACCGATTATTCAGACTCAGGCAATCTCGTGAATGATTGGAACCCTATCTATGTGAATTGCAGTTTCATAAACACGAGAAAAAACGACATAGATTGATGAGTACGTTGTAAGAATCCTGATATCTTGATCGGAATTTCTTCAATTGCTTTAGCATCAATAGCGGTTGATTGTTTTCATTGTGGTTGAAAATCAAGTACATTATCCTCTCAGAAAATTATCCCCTATTTCATGTACATTCTCAAGGATACATCTGTTTTCTACTCAACGTTCACTAAAACGATGTACTCAATTGCATCTGTTGGTTACACGTAAGTTGTTTTTAACATCTTGCCACGGGTGCTCATTCGCATCTTTTATGTTTTGGTTCATTGGGAAACTTCGCAAAAGCTAGCTCAGTTGCTCACCCTAGTCCAAAGTTATCCAAATCGGTCGATTTGTGTATACTGGAGTACCATAACGGATCGAAATTGGTATGATTTCCAGCCCCACTGATATCGTCCACATTTCTGCTCGGATTGGAGTGTTTCAAATTATTAACCAGTGTTGATGTTGGTAGTTTTGCTTGGTTTTTTAGGATAGGGCGACATTCTTGTTTCATGCAGTAATTGCCATCTGCAACTATATTGGCCTTGCTGTAAGCTGGAATCCGCCGACGGCCAGGCCCAGTGCGGACGCGGGACTCGTCAACGAACTTCCGATTCCGTCTCATTGACGAGCCATTCTCAAACATGTCCACCGCTCGAGGATGCACGGTCCAATAGCATCCTTTGCCAGCCTCGCCGGACGGTCGAGGGATTTTGATGAAACAGTCGTTGAATGATAGCGCGTGTCGGACGGAGTTTTGCCATCTGTTGAATATGAAGTACGGAAGGAAGATAGTGATCTATTTATGTGTGCGCGACAATTTTTTGAACACACAATTTGGGCAGATTATGAGAACATAAACTGAATTCACCGAGAAAATTAGGAAAAAATTTATCCTTCTTGCCACGAACGTTTTGAAACCAGGTCACTCCAAGTTATAGGTAACGAAAGAAACGGTCAATTATTTTTGAAAAGGCATATTAACCGCATAATAATGGAGAAATTTATTATACTTGAAGCACCAATGCGGTTGAATTTGACCGCACTCTATCACCGTAATGAACAATTCTATACACAATAGTGTATAGATGATTGGATAGAAAATTTTAAGTTGTCTACTTTTGAATGGTATCTCTCAATATTTTTGATTCAAAATTTATAGCTTTTCATGACACAATACTCTTTTGCACGTGGTAACTGTTCCAGTTCAGGAAATGATGTGTACAAATGGGCTTTGTTTTCCAATTACTTCGGGTTTATCAGTTTATTATCTACAATCGGAAGTGAAGATGGATACCCGATATTTCTAACCTTCAAAGACTGCGAAAAATATTCAAGTATGGGGATGACTGGATTTTCTCCTTACGTGTCTAATGATACAAGTAAATTGCCGTTTTTATACTGAAACATGTGAGTTGTTCCTTTTGACAATATGACTGCTATAGAATCATGTTTTAATGAAATCAAAGTGAATAAACGCACAAAATTGCCCATAGAACACTATTGAGACATTTCGGCAGAAACGATGAGAATTCCGGTGTTGAACTTTTGTTTTGGTACCAGAATGCTACCGTGGACAAAAACGGCAGATTGTTGATGGGTTGTTTCAGCATCTTCCCCGCTTTGTGTTCAGATTAATTGATTAGTTTGTTTACAACCAAACCAGCCGAAAATCCTTTTTGCATTTTTGTTTCTTCGAAATGTATCTGTACAGTACAACAATAAGTTTTACCCATTGGTTAAAAACCATTTGCCTGTGGCACAATTCACGTTATATTTCTTCAGTATTTTTTCTGTTTATTCTAAGATAGTATCATTTGAGGCGTCTTCCCAACACTTAACTGTTTGACATGGTTGGAAAAAACAGTCCAGTTATACTTCTTCTCCCGATACTTTACCAGTAACTGTTTATTGCCTTTTTAAGAGTCAAAACATACCAACATCTAACTGTAACTTCCCCGATGTATGTATATATGTACATATATGATATTCCACTTGTTAGGTCCAGACTGTGTACCAAACGAAGAAGAAAGCGGCCCAGTAATCCCTAGTTGGCAGAATACTCCAAGGGGGCTCAGACCAAGGGTATCGAATTGTTTCGGGAAATTCATAAGCGGAGCCTTTTCCTAGCCAAAGCCGCACCCCAGTCATACGGAGTCTTTCGGAGGCAAAGTTATTTGAAGCAACTTCTTGCGATGCATCAAGCATGCATTTTATTGATTCAACAAACTGGCGCTAAAGTTGACCTCAGTTCACTGTTTCGTCTTTAATTACATTTGAATTGTGATAAACATCGCGTATGGAAAAAACGAAAAAGACGGTCTTATCAGCTGTCTGGTGATCAAGTGGGTAATATACTTGCCTTCTATCTGTGAAGTCTCGGGTTCGATCCCAATTTGCGTCAACGGAGTTTCACTGCTAATGAGACCCAATTAGATTGAACCAGCTGTTCAGTACAACCCAAATTCTCAAGTCCCGCTTGCTTTCCTCTTACCAAAACGGAATTAATTAATCATATAAAAATTCGGACTGTTGCTATACTTAGGAAAATTACTGCATTCTCGCATAGATACGGGGATGGTGTTCCGTTTATCCCAATTAACAACGGTATACAATCTTACATCACTGGGATGTATCTTGATTAAAATACATGCAGATACTCGAATGTCACTTGTCGTCAAAATTCACGCTTTGTTTGTCCTAGCAATAAACCTACTAATATGATATATAGGCCTGTTGAGGAGTCACCGGAAACCAGCATATTCGACAGACTATGTGTTCCCTCTCGTAATTATTTATCCATTCATTCACTACAAAAATGTGAGCTAAATGACGCAAAAAACCATGACTCTTCATGGTACCGAATAACATACTGAAGGAGAGTGAAAAGCCACCCTTGTTAGTTCAATCCGTAACTGAGATGAGGACGAAGGAATAACGGACCAAAATTCATTAGAAAGGGCCTATATAAATGAACAAAAAGAAGCATATAATCACCACACTACAAAAATTGCAGATGTTCGCTAATGAAGCAAGTTTTTCCCACTTCACGAACAAAACAATACGAAGCTGTTCCCATCGAAATCAAAGTATGGTTTTGGATTTGACGAAGTTCTTGGCCTCAATGTGGAAGAAAGAACAGCAAATCAATTGAATGTTGTATGTAAATCGTTCACCCCACCGACTTACAAGAAAGGTGACAGATCCCTTTGTGAAAACCACAGGGGACTTAGTTTAGTTAACATCGGCTGTAAAATTCTCGCTGTGATCACACTCCGTCGACCGTCTGCCGCGAACGGTGAAAGTGTGAGAATCAGGTTGATTGTAGACCTGTTTGAGGTTGAATCGACCACATTGTTACTATTTGACAAATTCAAGGATATTTAAATTTCAAAGGTGAAATTCGTCGTATATATAAGAAGTGAAGCGTGAACGGAAAGGCTGGGAAGACTCGGACAACTGTTCCACCCTGGCTGAGTCTCATCAGCAGTGCGAATTGATCGATCCAACTGGGGATCGAACCCGGGATCTCACAAACAGAACGCAAGCATCCTACCCACTCGACCACCGGGAAGCTAATCAGACCGTTTTTCATTTTCAATTTACACGATCTAGCACAACCCATCTTTGCGGGCTTATTGCAGACCATAGACCTCGCTCATCTCAACACTAGCCTCCCGGGTTATGACTCCGTTGGAAACAATCACAACCTGACTACTTGATTCATATAAGTAACGGAGGATTTGATGTACTCGAAAAAATGCATTTCAAGTTTTCGATCTGTTTGTACTAATTGCTGTGGATATGAACACCCTATCAGGAGTCTATGAATGGGGACCCCGGGAACATCCTATCCGATGGTCAGATACACTGAGCGGCATGAATTCTCTCTGGCAGTGACTCAAACGTTCCATTCATCTCTTTACTGCCTCATCCAAATGGGCAGTCATGACACAGCAACCAAAACTGGCGCATGAAAGTGCGTGGTTATTGGTTTTAAAAACTGAAACTGAACTAAAATGAGTGACGTGGTTGAGTGTTTTAAACATTGGCGATCGCGCATCTAATCATTATCTTCGCAACTTGAGCCCATATGAAATAATTATTTTCACATTGTCTTTAATCTTACCAATCTAATTTTCCATCTGCTGTTTTCTTCAAATGGGCAGCCAAAATGGAGCAATGACCTTTACCGCCGCACAAAGTTTCATGGCTAGGGGTTGTGAAAACCGAACCAAAATCGGAAGCTTACAAAGTTTTGTCTTACCTACAGTTACTTTTGTATGTTGACTCAAATTGGATACCGGAATAGGCTGCTTTTCCTAGGGTTTCCTGCACTGAAAAAATGTCTGACTTCTCAAAACCGGTTGACAATAACCATAAGGGCGATTATCCCTAGAAATTTCACTTTCTTCTCTTATTTCGAAGATTGCTCACTACGAAATTGAGAGAACAGTCGTATTGAGAGAGAGGTGAGACGCATAGCCACATCGGAGAATTGTATAATGTGAATAAAGAATCCTGCCCATGATTAAGTGAATTTTTCAACTAAATGAAATTGCACTTTTTAGTGGAGGTTGGGGTGAATGCTCTTCAAGGAGCTCGGATATTGCCTCGTCCAATCGAAGGAATAGGACTGACAGGTGGTTAGTAAAACTTGATTTACAAACAAACACATAAATACACGCATATTTTTGCTTTGTTCTACTACAGTTATGCCATGCAAGATTTTTGTTATTATTGAAAGCCTATTACGTCAAATAAATCCATGCGTAACACCAATATTTCATGAATTTATAGCACAACAGTTACTTAAAAATGGAGGTTAGAAATCAAAACAGGAAATCACTTTTACGCGAGAGAGAAAAAATAAAACGATATTTTCTCTGACNAATACACATCCAACAGAAGCGAAACTTCGGGATACTAGCGACCGCCGATACAAAACATGAATGACTGCTGAAGCCCTACTTGTGCTGTTTACTAAAACTGACGCAGTTAATTCCATCAATCTGGTAGAAAAACTATTATGTCATGTTTGAGCATGATGACTCAATACCCCGGTAGGAAGGTATTATCACATTCCCTGTGTGTGATATAGACCACCTCCCTTTCATTGCTTCTACTACATTATGAGAGGAACTCAAACGACTGTTATCAGTCTTCACACCTTAGCGAATCCAAAATAAATGTGATTTGAAAGAATTGAGAATAAAACAATGAAAAACATGTTCAACAGCGCGTTGCATCCTGATTTTTGGTCATGGATTCATTTCATGATTAAAAAAAGAACTATATTGTACGCTATGAGATTCGTCTGATAGTCCCGTGTGACTGAAAATCTTGATTCTAACATAGAACGTATTTCAAGCCACGGTTTGATTTCCGTTGAAGTTGTATCGATTTTCGTGCAAAACTAAATTCCGAGTATCCGAAACCAAGGATAGCAATCAACTTCAGATTTCTTCTCAGAGATGGTGGTTTTATGTGACTGGGTATTTTCCCACTAGTGATGAAAACCCTCACTTTTCGGTAAATAAATAAAATTGTTTATACGCAATTGGATAATATTGCTGTTCATGCGTACACACCAAAAATATGTAACCCTAAGTCCGAGGAACGCAAGGTCAGTGAATTCAGTTTTGCAGGGTTAGTCACATCAGTGTTCGTTACAAATGGGCTCACGCGGCTACATTCGGGGGAGATCGATGATCAACTTGAAATCTAACTTCACTTGGATTTCACTACCGTAACTTGTTTGCAATCATTTATTCGGCGTCAGCAGAAACAACCCATTGACATTTCATTCTTCTAATTATAACTGTCCGTCTATTCATCTTCCGAGAATGGGATTGGTAACGTCAATAGATTTATTTCCTGGGTATAGATGCATCTCAAATTACTAACCGTTCCATATGCTAACGAAAGCTATCATTGGGGTTACTTCAATCACGGTTATTATATGAAAGTCTTTGATTGGTTGGTCATACGTCCAATTCCCTTCGCCTTACAGAGTGAGGAAAAACAATGGCTCATTTATTGATTATCCTGCGACAAAGTGTTTTCTCTTCTCGTTCTGGCAAAATGCGAATAATTCTGTTCGCTTGTTTTGTTCAACTGTACAAGTATTATTTGCGGTACATTCAAACGAAAATGTAACTGATGCATTACCTTTCAAACCACATTGCCAACAAGGGGCGGGATACAACAGTCTTGTGTAATTATGACTAAACAGATTCCCGTCACAGATGGCAACATTTACCTTTTGTACTTGCA